ACGCACATCGTCAAAAAGCCCCCCTTGGTGACAAGGGTTAGGTTTGAGCGTGTTACGTCCATTCTTCTCATTATCCCACGGTATGACCCTAGTTATACAAATGCTCTTTTTGCCATTATCTTTAATGATATTGACCAGTATGCATTAGTAGGACAAAAACAGGAATAATGATAATACACAACGCCCCCTGTGAGATCATTAGTGTACACAATAAACGAGGTATTTGCTGACCAGGTACATTATATACTTGTACTTCACGTTTAACGACGTGTTCTACTCCTTTTTCTTTGCGACCAGTGGGTACAGACGTTACCTTACACGTCCTCATTTCCCCCAAAAAGATATGATCACCTAATAAAACCACAGCCAAGTATCTAAATTAAAATGCAGAAATGCTCTTCCATATACCAGTGACGTCCCTTGCATTATACAGTATATCAAATGTGACACCTTTATGACCATTACATCCGTCCCACCATTCTGAGAACAATCGAAAAAAAATTAGAACAAAAACACCGAATCGTTTAATAAATAAGCTTTCATCAACACCATCATTCAGGGCCTACCAGTAAAGTGTTTCACTTTTGGACAAAGGCATCAGCATGCTTCTTCCAGTGTATTCTGTCTTGGGCTTCACACTTCCAGTTTTTTCAAGCACTCCTAACTCACCCCTCCATCTCTTACAAGGCTTCCCTTGTTTCCTGTATGTCAATATCATGGTATTCATGGTGAGCTTATTTAGACTATTGAACAATTTTGCGATATGTCTTTACTTTAAATTTTCAGACTTGGAGATTGTGACATATTTTTTCGCAGAGTTCAGAGCATCAGTATCGCGTGGCAGGTGATTCCGCTGTGTCAAAAATACAATTTCATTATTGTTGAACTCGTATCATACAGTGTATGAAAGTTACTGCAACGGCCTAAGCCATCGTTGTTTTATGGAACAGTCATTTATAAAGCACCGACGGCGTTAGGTGTCAATTATTTTATTTATTTGACACGATGAACACAGAGACAGGGACGGGTGGGGGGGGGGGGTCGCTTCTCGTGGGGTTTATGATTAATCGGCAGATGTAACGACAAGTTTGTAAAGCATTTAATATTTTTAACCAAGTTTTAATCTGAGCTCTTCTGTAATCGTAGCTTTTATCCATCAACAGTATCCCTTGTCAACTCAAAGTCTTAACATCATTTCACCTTACTGCGGTAATTACTCGTTCTTTTCAATGGGCAAAAATTATCAAATGTTCAGATACATTATTTTATTATCACAAAAATTAAATTTCTGTATAGCAAGTGTGGTGTTTTTACTGCACAGAACAGAACTATAGGGTACTCAGCTTTTAAATTTTTTTGCTACTACACAATATGAAAGTTCTAATTATAAGAAATTATGATTTATAAAATACACTATCTGTAAAATTCATAATTTTCTCCATTGAAAAGATTGAGTAATTACCTTACATTATTAAGGTTGAATCCACGACACACCTGGGTTTTCACGGGATTACGGATTTCCGATAATATATATTCTTATATTTATTGGCGTAATGCATCTCTAATTTATCCTTATTCCCAATCATTATGAAAATATGGTTCAACTAATGCATAATATTTCAGTCACGGGTTAAGTCCCTATTACGTCATCAGGCTTCCGACTGCTTGAATGAGAGTTTTGGCCCGCTGTCACAAATATGCAACAGACGAAAAAAGCAGCAATATTTAATCCTCATTTACACTGCTGCATAAAATACATGTGGACTATCGAATGTTGTCAAAGACCCATCTTTGAAGGGGATTGAAATTGGGCAAAAAATTCAATGAGAGGTCGCAAACCAGGCGAAAGTTTCGAGCGGTTGATAAGGTATAAATATAGGAGAATACTGTAGGTAAATGACAGAGGTGCCTATATCATGTCTTAAAACGGTCAGTTTTCCCATTAATTTTGTCTGGACCAAGCAGTTTGAAGCTAACGAACTTGTGAAAGCCCCCCCCCCCCCCCAAGAAAGGTAAAATACCAAGCAAAGTGACAAGGGCCTACATGTACATTTATTTTATTTTATTACTTCTAAGTCATTGAATTTCAGTTACTGTGTCCGTATACATGTATTCGTGGGGCAACAAATCGAGTGAATTTTAAATTTGAATGATTGACAAAATCAATACAAGTACGAATGATCAAATTAGGTATAGGCAAAATAGAATAAATGAAAAAAAAATTAAAAGCAGAAATGAATTAACCACGAAACACCGGTTAATGTAATAGATATCAGTGCATGACAACAAAGAAGAATAATAGAAACCGTATCTAATACAAATCAACAAGTGCAAATTAATTACTGAAGAAAACAAAACAAAAGCAATTATTTTTCTTCCACTGACATTTCCCTTGTTAAGACATCATGCGTTAACCAAAAACAGAACCAATTAACAGGTAACAAACGAAACCAACCAACTAAATAATGAATCTGTGACAGAAACAAAGAAATGGAATGGTAACATACATATTTATTCACGACTAAAATTGTCAAATTTTACACGGTCATCCTTTTTTTAGCAAAGAAAATGTCAACAAAAATTGATGCCCATTTATCTACGTATACAGATATATAAAGTCCGTTAAATGTGATTCTAATTCTACTTTTGTTTAAAATGCCTGATAGTTCTTCATATTTCAACAAATATCTATACAATTTGAGTTAAAAATACTGTTTTAGATTCAGATTAGAATAAAGTATTAGTGTCAAACTCGTTTCTTACAAAACCCGATGGCTATTAGTAAGGATCTTATTTATCTACTAGTGTATCTATTACAGTATATACGAAAACGTGAATATACATAATACATTTTGTATAATATTGTTTGCTATACTGCATGCTTAGTAGTTAGAGAGACTACACATTAACATTCTTGTGCTAAATAAATCAATATATATATATATATATTTAATAACCATTAATATAATTATTTTGATAATAATCATAAGCAAGTTTGATCTTCATGGTCATGCAGTACTTTCATGATGTGCACACGTGGCAGGCGACAGGACGTCGCCCCGCCTCCCACCCCCCC